ACTTTAGCTTTACGTTGAATTGTAAGTGGTGCTAAAGAAAAAAAAACTTCTAAATCTATGTTTGAGAAATTAGCAGAGGAAATAAAAAATGCTTATAACAAGTCTGGAGAAGCTTTTAAGAAAAAAGAAAACATTCAGAAAGAAGCTATGGGTAATATGGCTTTTGCTAACCTTAGATAAAAATAACATATGTCTCGTTCTTTAAAAAAACCTTTATTTGTTGACGAAAAGTTACAAAAAAAAGTTGAAAAAGCTAACCAAGAAAAAAAACCGATCTACTTTAAAACTTGATCACGAGATTCTACCATTACTCCCGAAATGATTGGGCATACGGCTCATATTCATAACGGTAGGACTTGAGCTGTTCGTCAAATCACCTCTGAAATGGTAGGATGTAAGTTTGGTGAATTTGCTCCGACCCGTAAACGTGGTAAACACGGAAAAGCTGGTACACACTAAATGTTATAAAATATTAATATTATGTCAAAGACTTTTTGAAATTATTATTCCTATTTGCAGTGCTTTGTTTAGATTTAAAATTTCAAGGAGTTAGTTTAAAATAATATGGATTCAATTGTTATTAAAAGTTCACAAATTGCTATTTCACCGCAAAAAATGAACTTGATTGCTGGTTTAGTTAGAAAAAAAGAATTGGACCATTCTTTAACTTTTTTAGCTTTTTTGCCGAAGAAAGGAGGACGAATTCTTTACAAGTTATTGCAAGGAGCAGCCAAAAGTTTAGTGAAGAAAAAGGAAAAGACAAGTGATTTCTATTTGGATAAGGTTGAGGTAAATCAGGGGAGAATTCAAAAAAGAGTTATTTATAGAGCAAAAGGGAGAACGGATCGTGTAAAAAAAAGGTACTGTTTGATTAATCTGCTTTTGGTTAAGAAAACACTTAATAAAAAAATTGTTAAGAAAAAAGTTGATAAAGTTTCTGCTCCGTCTACGGAAGAACAAAAAGAAGAATAAAATTATATTAAAATAACATCATAATAATGGCACAGAAAGCTAGTCCTTATGCAATTCGCGTTGGTTATAATCAAGTTTGGAATAACTGTTATTTTTCAGAAGGAAAGAGAGATCGAATTAATTGGTTAGAGAGAGATAAATTAATTCGAGATTATTTTAGTTCAGCACTTCCTAATACAGTGAGGTTAAGGGCTGAGTATAGTACTAATAGTATTTTTCTTTATCTTTACATTTCTGAACTCAGTCTAGTATTAGGAGAAAATAACGAAAGATTAAACAAGATAATAAAAAATGTTTACAAAATAATTAATGATGACAAGGTAGCAGTTAAAATAAATCTTATTGAAATAAAAAAAACTTATGCTCATGCTCAGTCAATAGCTAATTTAATTGCTGGACAGTTACAGAAGCGAATTTTTTCGGGAATGGTATTGAGGAATGTATTAAATAAGATATCTCTTGAAAAAGGCGAAGTAAAAGGAGTAAAAATTAAGTTAAAGGGTTTAATGGATAATTCTAAGATTGCTCAAACTAAGAAAGTAACTCAAAATAAAATGCCTTTAAGTGAGATTGATAGCAATATTGATGAAGGAAAAAAAGTAGCGGTTACTGTTCGGGGAACGATTGGTATCAAAGTACTAATTTACAAAGGAAAAATATGACGAACAAAGAAATAAAGTCATTATGCTAACACCTAAAAAAACTAAATATCGTTATTCACATATCGTAAAGTATGAAGGTCATGCCAAAGGAAATCAAGAAGTTAATTTTGGCGATTATGGCTTGCAAGCTCAAGAAGGTACTTATATCAGTAACCGGGCTATCGAAGCGGGACGAAAGGTAATTAGTCCCTTCGTAAAAAAAACTGGCAAAATGTGGATTAGGATTTTTCCTCACTTAGGTAAAACCAAAAAACCTTTGGAGGTGAGAATGGGTTCAGGTAAAGGTTCGGTGGAAAGTTGAGTAGCGGTAGTCAAGGCAGGAACGATAGTTTTCGAAGTGCAAGGCTTACCCAAAGATACGGCCTATAAAGTCTTAAAACAAGCTAGTCATAAATTGCCTAAAAATAATGGCGAAGCTAAGGTTAAATATAAAGTAGTTGAAAGAAATGAATAAAGAAGTTAAAGAAAAGAAGCCATTAACGCCGGAGGAAATATTAATTCAATTTCGTTCAGCGTTAGCAGTTCTTCGCATGAAAAGTAAAATGGGGCAATTAGTTAAAACCCACCAAATAAAAAATTTAAAAAAGGAAATTGCTCGACTGCTTACTAAAACTAAAAATAAATAGTATATGAGCCAAAAGTATCTAGGTAAAGTAGTTGGTTTAAAAAGTGCTAAGACGGCTACCGTAGAATTAGTCTTTACTAAGTTGCATCCTAAATATCATAAGTTTATTAAACGAAAAAAAAGGATCCAGGCTCACAATGAGGAACATAATTTGGAATTGGGGGATAAGGTAACCATTGAAAGTAGTCGACCTTACTCGGCAACTAAGCGATTTTTAGTAGTTAAGAAAGAAGAAAGTAAGTAAAATTAGTAATATAAAGTAAATTGGAAATAAATCATTAAAAATTATGTCAAATCTTTCAAAATGTGACGTTTGCCAAAAAACCGAATTGAAACCCGGTGATTCTGGTGTTTATATTGGAGATTATAGAGGGAACAAAACTGAACATTTGCATGTATGTTTGACTTGTTGTCGAGCCAAAAAACAAGAGTATTTAGAAAACTATGCTTTTATTTATTCTCACGAACAAGAGTTTAGAAATCAAAAAAGAGATACTGGATATTTGAAGGCAGATGAGACGGGGTGTTATGCCGACAAAAAGGACCAAAACGGTAAAATACTAAAACAAAAAGATTGTTCTCATTGTCAACCATGAAAACACAAGGAGAATAAATCTAAGAAAAAGGTTCTCGCTGAACAATTAAAAGCCAAGTTAAATTCCCCAGAATACGTTGCAATGCCGGATTTAATTACTTATAATGATAGATATGCCGATATGCTAGTTTGGTTTGGAGAAAAAGGCTGAATTATCGGTACTAACATAAACCCTGGAAAAGGAAATAAATTTAAAAGCGAGCATATAGTTAGTTACGAAGAGTTGGAAAAAGATGATTTTGAGGAAATTGCTAATTTAGTTGAAAAGCGAAGAAAAGAAAAAGAACAATTATTCGAACAAAAACGAAGTCAAATCCTGGAAAAGTTAAATAATCAATCTAACTTATATTACTGTTGAGATAAAAAAAAAGGAGCCGATTCTTGGGTAGAATATAAAGGAATGCGTGGCTATATAACTTTTGGTAAAAAAGAAAATGGTCGCGGTTATGGTTTATATATTGCTGAAAATCATCCCATTTTAGATAATTTTTCTTTTCAAACTGGTTTTTATCTAATTGATACTGATAAGCCAATCGAAAGAGTTCCGTATAATTATTGAAGCGACGGTGGGGAGGATAATCCAAATAATTTTAAGAAGTGGGTGGAAATAGATGACCAAATTACGATTACTCCTTATGAGGTAATTGATAGGTCAAGTGAAAAACCACGAAAAGATAATTCAGATGTTCTCTTGTGGTCTATATGGACTGGTCAGAAATCATTGGTTAAGGAGATTAACGACAATTTATTGCGTTATTTTAGAGAAAATGACATTAAAGAAATAAGTTTAAAAGATAACCGTCTAGTAATTAAGCATAATAATAATGAAATTGTAAGTTTCGAGCAAATAAACAATCATTGTGAAATCAGAAACATAAAAAATTGACTAGAATTAACTAATCAAAAAAGTTTAAGTTTACAGCAATTACAAAATTCTTTCAATTCGTCTGCTAATTTCTCAAACATAGATTTAGAAGTTTTTTTTTCTTTAGCACCACTTACAATTCAACGTAAAGCTAAAGT